GTCGCTCGTTATTCGTTAAAAAATGATTAACAAAAGAAATTTGAAAAAATATCGTTTTAAGTTGCTTCCACGTCCACTCTACCTCCCCCCTCCCCCTGTTTCGGGGCGAAGCGACTTTCCTGATCCTGAGTGATCTCCAACAAAACTTCGAAAGTTGCTTCATGTGGAAGTAATGCGCCTCTAAGCAAAGAGGAGGTGGAGTGAGAGTCGCTTCACATGGAAGTCGTGTACCCTCAAGCGGAGGGAAGGGGGAGAGTCGTTTCACGTGGAAGTCGTGCGCTCCCAAGGAGGAAGGAGGCGGAGTGGGAATTGCTTTGTGTGAAAAGTAATTACGTAAGCAAAGAAGGGTATAGGATGTTTTTAATATTATATATAGTAAAAATAAAACATTTTTTCAAACTTTTTTTGTTAATAATTTTTTAACGAATAACGAGCGACAGCTAAAACCAATTGGAGGTTACTCAGGGTCATGATCTTGACACATATGTCAAAGTCATCAGCAATTGCTCTCCTTTTTTGCAGTTTTACCGGGGAAAAAAAAAAAAGAAATTAGACAAATTTCTTGTAATTTATTTTTACTTATTTTTTTATTTATTCGTCCGTTCATTTATTTATTTATTTATTTATTTATTTATCTTTCTCTCTCTCTATCTATTTATTTATTGATTTATTGATTTATTTATTTATCAATATGAAAAATTAGAATAATTTCAATCAAATAAAATTTATTTGATTTCAAAAAGCGATGTTTAAATTAAAGAAGTGACGTTCATACATATACAAATCAAAGAAATTTTTTTTTTTAATCGTATAGCAGAGAAACATTTCTTCGAATCGAAGAAACCTTTCTCTGGGGGTGCATCAATTATTATTTGCGTATTTAATTAAATGCGATGTACATGCAACAAAATATTATTCTAATATTACTGAGAAAATGCAATTTTTATTCTTTTTTTGAGTAATGATTATATAAAGAATATTTTCTTGATAATATAATTTTAAAATATTATTTACTTAAAATAAATAATATTTATATAACATTTTTCTATATGTACACGCGCACGCGCTTCAGAGAGAATTAAACTGAGTTCTCGAAAAGTTCTCGCCTGATTTTAATCGAGATATTAATTTCTAAAGCGCTGAATATTCGCCATTGATATCTTGGCATGTGGAGTGGAGACCGTCTGACAAGCGCTCCGCGCCGCACACACCGCCGCGAACCTCTAAACGTCATATCTCGGATGGCGCTTATCAAGCCATCTCTGCTCCTCGCAGCCCGCACGCCAAGCGATCGGTACTCGGTAGACGCACACTTGGCAGTAGTAGAGCCGAGCGGGTGCGCGTATTCAGCTGTCTTCAAAAATTAATGACGCATGATGCTATTCGCCTATGTAATATATCTCATTATTTTATAATTTTTAGTAGTATATTAACTGTTAGATCCCTCCTTGCTGGTTATAATTATTTATTTGTCCAGTTTTACCTATATAACTATTATTGATTTTAGCTTTGCTCATCCTTTTATCTTTCTTTATCTTTCTTCTCTTTCTTTTTTTTCTATGTATTCTTGTATTTTTTTTTACTTTTTTTTATATTCCTATATTTGCCTTTTTTATATTCTATTTTATACTTTTCTGTTTATGGGACCCTGACAGTGTGCTTGCCGCGAATTGTATTTTATGCGAGTATGAATGTACGCGATTTACACTTTTATTTTATTGATATATTTTGTATTGCCGCTCGCGCTCCTCCGGGACTTTTATATTTCTGACAATACTGTGATATGGAAGAGCATGATGTCTGCGATAACGTATCTCCCTAGCACGCGAACTTGAAGCATAAAATATTGTGATATATTGCGCAGGCTGGGGGAAGTGTCATTCAGCCTTGTAACTTTAGTGCCCATATGGGGGGAGGAGAGGGAAGTTCCTACCCACCGTAATAATATATATATTTCAGCGCCTAGCCGCTTTAAATTGTATGCCTTCAGGAGGAAGATGTCCCCATGAGTAACCTCTTTAATAAATGAAAGACAATATCTTGTTAACTATTGGGAAAGTTGCGAAATGGTAAAGAATTTTTCGACTTAGTTTAGTCCATTCTATATCTGCCATTAAATATTTGGCAATTATTCTGGGACACCGTGTTTTGTGTGTGTGTGTGTGTGTGTGTGTGTGTGTGTGTGCGCGCGCGCGCGTGCGTGCGTGCATGTGTGTATAATTAATGTAACATATATGTTTGAAGTTTACACTGAGAGCGGAATCCATAGACGTTGCTCAAGATTCAAGATGGTCTTAAACTAGTGCTAGATGTCATGAACCAATCAAAGAGCTATCTTAAGATATTACTTGAGATGATCTTGAGATGAAGAACAAACTATGGATTTTGGCCTGAAATTTTATAATAGTGTGCAATTCGGGGGACTATACTACAGTGAGGTTACCCTTCACTTCAAAACAATGATTCAAGATTTTAGTGGTTACTACTATTCCTCACTCACTCATTCCTCGCTTTGAGATTCGCTATTAGGAGGTTCCAGTATAATTGCATTATATTATAGTACAAACCTCTTTCAGGACCTTCTTGTATGGGACCTGAACTAGCACTGCTATTTGACACACTTGAAAGATCCCGGTCTAAATTGTCTACACTACTGCTATAATAGTGCTCTTCCTAAAATATAAAATTTGCATTTTCTTGTATAATTATAACATATCAGTATATAATATTCATATACCATTATAATCAAATCTTTTTCTATTTCGAATATTGAATCAAATTATGAGACAATAATAATACACAAATTTTAATATTTCGATTACAACAGCATGATACACAAATCTTTTAACGAATTTTATAAGAAAACTTTTACGATAGTACGCTTATTGAAATTTTTTTCAATAGCATTTATTAAATTCCCATCTAATATTTTTTTCGTTTTGATAGACTCTACGTAAAAAATAAAATCTTAACATAATTGTTACCTTATAATATTTGCGATCCTTTTTATCTAATCCCTCATCATCTTTTATTTCTTCTTTTTTTACATATTTTTCTTTTACTTCTGAAACATCCTTACTGTCTTCTTTCTTTCTAAACTTTTCAGAGTTTTCACTATTCAAAAAATTAATATCGAATTAATAAGAGATTTTTAATACAGAAATTTAAAAATTAATTCTATACTTATATTAATCTTGTGTGCCTTCCAACAAGCGACACAGTGCGACGTAGTGATCATGTCATCTTTGTTTAACTAATTGGCAAACAACAAGGAATATGATTCATTGTGTCACACCATGTCATTTGTGTCGCTTGTTGAAAGGCACACATTATGTCCTTATATCTTTTATTAAATTACCATATCATTTTCTATTTAAAAAAAATATTAGGTGTACAACTTTGCTTCCGCCGTTTTCCTATAGATGGCTTTAGCGGTAAGTGATCGAAATAAATAGATCATAGACGTCATACAATAAACTTGGGCATCTATCAACATAACCTCATAGAAACATTAGTCGATTTGTATCTGCATCATAAAGTTATTCTCGATTGAAAATGTCAGTTTACGAGCCAAATTCTTGTCATTTGCGGGAGGTTTTAATTTTCTGCTTCAATATGAAGAAATTTGCGGCTGAGGCTCATCGAATGCTCTCAATACTTATGGTGAGGCCGCTATTAGTGAAAGAACGTGTCATGAGTGGTTTCAACGCTTCAAGAACGGTGATTTTGACGTCGAACATCGGCGGTGGAAGAGAGAAGGTTTTCGAAGATGCAGAATTAGAGGCATTACTTGATCAAGACTCGTCAAAATCAAGAAGAATTGGCACGATCATTGGGAGTGACTCAACAAACCATTTCAAAACGCCTCAAAGTCATGAGAATGATTCAGAAACAAGGAAATTGGGTACCGTACGAGTTGAACCCGAGAGATGTTGAACGGTGTTTGTTTGCTTGTGAATAGCTGTTTGAAAGGCAAAGACGGAAGGGATTTCTGCATCGCATTGTGATTGGGGGAAAAAAATGGGTTCATTACGATAACCCCAAGCGCAGAAAATCATGGGGAGTTCCCGGCCATACTTCCACGTCGACGGCCAAACCGAAAGTCTTATGAAGAAGTAAAAAATTGGATCGATTCGTGGATCGTCTCAAAAGATGACCAGTTTTTTCGACACGGAATTCGTACGCTGCCCGAAAGATGGGAGAAAGTAGTGACCAGCGATAATACTTTGAATAGCGGACAATACTTTGAATCATAAATGTATAACCAGTTTTTTTACAATAAAACCTCGAATTTCGGAAAAAAAACGGCGGAAGCAAAGTTGTACACCTAATAAAATATAAAAAGGTATAAGTTCTAACAAGTAACTCCAATAATACGATGTAAATGTATATAAATGTTTTAAACTGTATTGCTCACTGATGCGTTTGACTGGAGGAACTTCGTTTTTCTCGTTGTTCCTTGTTTTCCTTTTCTGACCGAGTATCTCCATTATTATTTTCTTTCACCGTTACTCCATTGCTGACTTTTTCACTTGTTTCATTATTCGTTGTGTCTTGTGTTTTAGCAGCCTATACGAAAAAAAATAAATATAAAAAAACTTATAACTTTCTCAAATACTTTTTAAAACATAATCTCCCCTCTTTCTTTCTTTCTTTCACACTCCTCTCTCTCTCTCTCTCTCTCTCTCTCTCTCTCTCCCTGCTTTACATAAAATTGAATTTTTAGTGTAAAAATTGAAAATAAGAGGAATAATGTCCAATATTGGCCTTGATCTCAATAAATGTTATCCAGGACATGATCAAGAGGTTTTAGCCATCGATTAGACATCCTACATAATACCAGCGGTATTGTAAGGCTCTGTGCATAATAATGGAGGACATACGAATGGAATAGGAATGAATATTAAGATTTCGTATCAGAAACCTATCAGAAACCGTATATTCCAGTGTAAGTGATATCTGATCAGTATCTGGTTGAAATCTTAATATTTAATCCTAATATTTGTTCCTAATATTTGTTCTATTGTGTTCCCTAACTTTCAAGCCTTATAACTCAAAAAATATTTAATGAAAAATAACTTTATTACAGTATTTTAAAAAGCTCTTGACACCAGCTATTAGATTCTGGCACCAAAAATAGAGTGTTCCATTTTAAAAAATCAATTCGATCTTGAATTAATAAATCTTGGCGATGCCACCCAAAGTCAAACTGATAAGATCTGGAAATAGATCTTTTTGTAACTTACAATTTTTTGTCTGAAATATTTCTTTCAAAAACGTCTTTCCGAGTGAATCCGGGATCGCGACCTTTTTTGAATACCTTATATATACAGGGTGTTCAAAAAGTCCCGGATCGGGTGAATAACTTGAAAAAAAAAATTTTTTTGAATCCCTCGTGCCCCACGTGCCCCATTGGGGGCGGGGGATCGCAACCCCTCTCAAAAGATAGATTTTTTGAAAAATCGTTTCACGTGTTTCGGCGTTCTTTCAAAAAATTTTTTTTTTTCAAGTTATTCACTCGGTCCGAGACTTTTTGAACACCCTGTATATATGTGTGTATCCGGGATCGCGATCTTTTTTAAATACCTTGCACGCACGCACGCACGCACGCACGCACGCACGCACGCACATAGGATGTATCAAAAGTTTGGAAACGGTCGAATATCTCGAAAAGCATTTTTGAGAAAAATGTTTCAGATAAAAGTTATAGGCTAAAACCTCTTGAATGTTGTTTAGAATTGTCATCCTGAATATAATTTGTCAAGATCAAAGCTATTATTATATAGGTTATATCTCTTATATTCATTTTTATGTAGAAATGAATTTTTAGTGCAAAAATGAAAATAAGAGAAACAATCTCCAATGGCGTTGACAAATGTTATGCCAGTCATGATCCTGAACAACATTCAAGAAGTTTTAACCATCGGTCGGACATCTCGAATAATGCTAATGCCGATAGTACTGTAACTTTCAAACCTTATAACTAGCAAAGTACTTAATGAAAAAATATTTTATTACATTTCATTACTATTTTGAGAAAATTTTGTCGAAGTAAGCTACAAGAAATGTAATAACAAATGGGATGTTGCATTTAAAAAATTCAAAGTGATCGACCTTGCCAAAGTGACTTTGACAACGCAACTCAAGATCAAACCATAATGCTATCTTATGTCCTCCTTGGAGTTACAAAACTTTTATTTGAAATATTTTTCTCTAAAATGCATTATTCAAGAGAATTTGAAATCGTCATTAAAAATGGGACATCTTGTATATACATATACAGAGTGTCCACGTAATTGTGATCACAATTTTTCCGGCAATTCCGATAATGTGACAAAAATTATTTTGAGCAAGTTAGTTAGTTTTCAATTAATTACAACTTGCAATAAAAATTTGCGAAATATTTTTTTTTAGAAAAAAAGTCAAGGTCATCCTAATTTTTTTAAAACTACAATTCAGAAACGTTGGTTCTTCAATTTGCCTACAGGTACATTTTTTCTGAACAATATAATGAAAAACATATAAAGTTTAATACAAAATAATTTTTCACGAAAATATTTCCATTCATTGATTTCACGTTCTTTGAGGTTATCTCAAGGTCATTAAACTCTTCATCTTAACATCAGTTACAATATTATGAAATAAAAAATACGTAGTACCATTTAAAAAATTAGAGTGACCTTGATTGTTTTCCTAAAAAAAAATGTTTGTGCAAATTTTTAATATTGCAATTTGTAATCGGTCGAAAACTGACTAATTTTTATTCAAAATAATAATTTTTCACATCATCGGAAATGCCGGAAAAATCGTGATCACAGTTACATGGGACACCCTGTGTGTGTGTGTGTGTGTGTGTGCGCGTGCGCGCGCGAGCGTGTGTGTGTGTGTGTGTGTGTGTGTGTGTGTGTATACATATATATATATATTATATATGTATACAATATGTATACAATTTTAATATTGCATATTTAAACATAGGGAATGCATAAATAGCTTAGCATTGGTAACTTCTATCTGCAATATATGTATATTCACACATAGTATACATATATGCAATATTGTATAATATTGCCTATATGTGTATTTAAGTACACACACCACTAATATTTTAACATGATTAACTTCTACATCTTTTTATTAACGTAGCAAAATATGGTATAACTACGTATATTATATGTATAATATATCTATGTATAGCTAATACATATCACATTCTGACTTAAATGACATTGTACAATAGGAAAAATGCTATTAGGACCATGTGGATGTATCAAAAGTTTGGAAACGGTCGAATATCTCGAAAAGCATTTTTGAGAAAAATGTTTCAGATAAAAGTTATAGGCTAAAACCTCTTGAATGTTGTTTAGAATTGTCATCCTGAATATAATTTGTCAAGATCAAAGCTATTATTATATAGGTTATATCTCTTATATTCATTTTTATGTAGAAATGAATTTTTAGTGCAAAAATGAAAATAAGAGAAACAATCTCCAATGGCGTTGACAAATGTTATGCCAGTCATGATCCTGAACAACATTCAAGAAGTTTTAACCATCGGTCGGACATCTCGAATAATGCTAATGCCGATAGTACTGTAACTTTCAAACCTTATAACTAGCAAAGTACTTAATGAAAAAATATTTTATTACATTTCATTACTATTTTGAGAAAATTTTGTCGAAGTAAGCTACAAGAAATGTAATAACAAATGGGATGTTGCATTTAAAAAATTCAAAGTGATCGACCTTGCCAAAGTGACTTTGACAACGCAACTCAAGATCAAACCATAATGCTATCTTATGTCCTCCTTGGAGTTACAAAACTTTTATTTGAAATATTTTTCTCTAAAATGCATTATTCAAGAGAATTTGAAATCGTCATTAAAAATGGGACATCTTGTATATACATATACAGAGTGTCCACGTAATTGTGATCACAATTTTTCCGGCAATTCCGATAATGTGACAAAAATTATTTTGAGCAAGTTAGTTAGTTTTCAATTAATTACAACTTGCAATAAAAATTTGCGAAATATTTTTTTTTAGAAAAAAAGTCAAGGTCATCCTAATTTTTTTAAAACTACAATTCAGAAACGTTGGTTCTTCAATTTGCCTACAGGTACATTTTTTCTGAACAATATAATGAAAAACATATAAAGTTTAATACAAAATAATTTTTCACGAAAATATTTCCATTCATTGATTTCACGTTCTTTGAGGTTATCTCAAGGTCATTAAACTCTTCATCTTAACATCAGTTACAATATTATGAAATAAAAAATACGTAGTACCATTTAAAAAATTAGAGTGACCTTGATTGTTTTCCTAAAAAAAAATGTTTGTGCAAATTTTTAATATTGCAATTTGTAATCGGTCGAAAACTGACTAATTTTTATTCAAAATAATAATTTTTCACATCATCGGAAATGCCGGAAAAATCGTGATCACAGTTACATGGGACACCCTGTGTGTGTGTGTGTGTGTGTGTGCGCGTGCGCGCGCGAGCGTGTGTGTGTGTGTGTGTGTGTGTGTGTG